ATGGGGGAACTGGAGTTGGGGGGGGACTCTAAAGGTCAGTGTTGGGGAGGATCGTGGGGAGAGTGTGACCCTGCGGGTCAGAAAGAGGGACTGGCCGAACCGTGGAGGGGAACGAGGCAGCGATGTACCCTGGATTGGGGGCGGGACGACACAGCGCATCTCCCCACACCGAGCACAGGCCCTGAGCACCACAGAGGCCCCACGGGGCCAACGCAGAGCGGCCCCCGCCCTGGTGCCCCCCCGAACACCCACTTGTAGAAGCTGAAGCTGAGGCGGCGCTCGGAGCCCGGGGCTGTCCTGCGGCGTTGGAGCAGCGCGCGGCTCCGCACCGCTTCCGCACGGCCGCCTTGCTCTCGCGGCGCAGGGTGATGACGTCACAGCCTGCAGATAGCTGGCTGTGGTGGTTGGTGACGCTCACAGCGCAAGATGTGAGGGCCTTGCATAGGAGCTGAGGAGGCACGAGAGGGTCGGCACCCTCCAGTTCCTGGGAGGTCCCAAATGTCCTTGGGCAACGGAGGGGGTGACAGTGGATGTGGGGGGCTGGGAGCAGCAGGCTTTGCCTGAGCTCGGGATTGGAGTAGCTCAGTTCCCGATGAGAGCACAGCACATCCATTCCTACTGTCCTGCTTTCTTTCTAAAGGAGCTGACCAAGAAGCTAAGCAGGATGCACTGCAGGAAGGCAGCCGTCCCACACTGCTGGTCTCGGACATTGGAACGCAGGCAGCACCAACAACTGGCATGCCAGGTAATTTCTGTGCTGCGCTCAGTCAGCATCATTCACCAGAGTCACTGTGTGCCTGCAGGCTCTTGCTGCCTGCCCTTGCACACCAGCTCAGCAGCCAAACCAGCGCGTGGGCACAGAGCACGTGTAAAAGAAGCCATGGATGGCTCTGAAAATGGCTGACCTCAGTGGGGTGTGGAGAGTTGTTCCAGCGGCGTGCCAGAGAAGGTACTTGCAGACCTCTGTGACGCTGCTCAGCTCCCCTCGGGGTCAGCTGCTCAGCGGGGTCCTGTGTGGTAGGAACCTGCAGGAGTGTTTCTCCCCTGGGCTGGCTCCAGCTGTGCCCTGCACAGTCATCAAGTATCTTTCTGCCTTGCCCTTCCTTTTGTTATTTCTTTTGTTTTATGTCCGGCCTATTTTGATTTTGCAAATAGAAATGTTTTATCCGTGTTCTCATTTAGTAACAAATGATGACTTGTTCTGATCTTCACTTCTACTTGGGCATCCAGCACGGCATTTAATGGATTTGCACAGGTTAGAAACAAGCAAATTTTGAGAGGTTTTTTCTGTTTTGCTAGGAAGAGATTAAGACTAGCTGCACAGTTTTGAAACTCTGCTCTGCAGACCAGCTGCACAACAATGAATTGCTGACACAAATCCTGAACTTGTCTGCCCTCAGAAAGCCTTCCTGGATGTTCCTAGAAGGTTGCTAGTATTCTTGGCACTCTTGGCCTAACTGAATTTAATTGGAAAACTCCCACTGGTTTAGCAGGACTGTCTTCTTATTTTCCATATGAAAGAACTGGATTAGTACTTTTCTTGCTCTCTTTTTTGGATTTTTCTAACAATCTCAAAAGCCTGTGAAGCATGGCTTCCTCACAGCTTTCACACCTGTTCAGTGACTCTGTGTATTTATGCATTTATACATGAAATGTATATTTGTTTCTGCAATGTTGTTTTCACCTAACACATGTTTTAGTCTGGGAGTTAAATCTGAGTTGTTTATTTACTGCTGTGATAATGCTGAGGATCTGCATGAGGCACTGCAGCAGTGCAGTGCACGCTTACGCTCTCAAACCCCAGGGCCCCCATCCCAAGTGACAATGCAGGTAATCTAGGGCCTTCTTAAATTCCAGCAGCCCTTCAGAGGCTGGCTTACCCACAGCATGCTCTGCACACTGCTTTTTAGATATGCACACAAAAAAGCTGGGCATCTGCAAGGCTGAAAACGAGTCTTTCAGTGCTTATTAATTTTGCTCCAGGCCTTTTACATTAGTAAAGTATTCAGAAGGAAGGGCCAAAATACAAAGCTGCCACCACTTTCTCTAAGGGAAAGTGTTCACCTGGGGGTCAAATAAAAATCTGATCCTTCCCACCCTCACAGGAACAAACAAAAGCATTTTCCAAATGAATTGTTTCTGAATAAGATGTTGGAAAATTTGTTCTCAGCTTCTGTGGCTTATGAATGCATACAAAGCTTCACCTCTCTAATTCCTTAGCAGTGTGTGCTGTGCAAATAAAAGCCCAGAGTCCAGAGGATGTGTAAGGAGCTCAGAGCTCTGCACTCCCTGTGCAGTGCAGTCTGGCAAAATAAACTTCTGGCATTCGCTGTTCAGAAGTGCAGTGTGCCTGAAGCAAAGTCCTTGCAATTCACTTCTATTCAGCGAAGGATTCTTCACCTGTTTGAACAACTTGAAACATTCTGGAGTCGTGGCACACTCTTGAAAAAGGAAGGTCTTTAATATTGGTATTCATGCCTATTTAGGTTATCGATTTTCCATCCAAGCTCAGCTACTGATGGTTATGCCTGAATAAACCATAAAAAATCAGGTCTTTACTGGATACATCCCATGACAAATATTGTTGCTTCGTTGTTTTTATTTTCTATAGGTAGGATACCACCGTCTTTACAGTGCAATCAAATGAGAATGTGACAGAGACTCTGGTAAGTGGTGGATTTTGCTTCTTTTCTAAATGGTGTGTAAAAAAAAGGGTACTGTTTTTTGCTTTGTGCAAAAATATTTGCTCCTCTGTACAAAAACATGGGTGTTTTCCATCCTCTAATTCATTAAATCTTGACCTGAAAGAATAGGTGGGTTATAGCATTGCAGCTGTAAATCTTTACTTTCTGAAAGTCTTTCACAAGGATAGCACTGCAAAAAAGGAAAAACAGGATGCCTAGATACTGATAATTTTTGAAGGTACAGTTTACTTATTTATTGCACTTAAGAAAAGCAAGAATGAGTGCTTTGGTCAGCAAGGAAGTGCTCATGTGTGCTGTCGGTACTCATACCTCTCATATCACTGCAGCTTCATCTATCTTGCATATTTTAGTAGGTACCATCTTTTAAGGGGGTGAATACTGTTGAAAGCGATCATACTTTGGTGGTTTCTGGGTTCCTCTTGCTGTCTTTGGTTAGCCTGAATGAAGGACATGGAGTGGCAGCATTGCTGGGTGAACGCTGCCGTAACTGAGAGCAGAAGAGTGATTCTGTCTGTTGATGTGCCTTTGGTCACTGAGCACCGCGAGAGCATTCTGAGTATTTGTGTTTGTAGTTCCAATGGCAAGTGCTCTAAAGACTGTGCACAAGTGACTCAGAGCACATCAGTGCCATCTGCATTGATACACATTACCTCTGATTTTAAGCCTGAAAGTTCCTTCCAGTATTAAGCCCCAGGAAACTCATTAGCCATCTGACCTGGGACAAATCTGCCTTTTGTTTCTCATTACAGTCATGCTTTTTCTTTGTGAAATTCCTTGGAACTGGTGTTATCACACAAGACAGACTTCTGCACAGCGTGGTTTCTTTATTCTTTACCAAATCCTGAAGGTGGTGCTTGGGCAGATTTCTCTATACTTCATTAAAAACAAGCCTGCTAAAGGAATAGATGAGGAAGGAATGGAAAGGACATGTTTTGGTGTGGTGGTGGGTTTTTCTGTTTGGTTTTGTTTTGTTGTTGTTTTCTGAAAAATGTCAGGGAGCAGATTTTTGTATTTTGAAGAATTTCAGAGATGTCTCTTCATTACAGAAGGCCTTCTGAGCAGCTGCATCTTATCAACTGCAAAGCAGCTGGATAGCTTTTGGGGTTCATGTTATGCTGAGCAGTGTGTTCATGGCAAATTGATCTACTGGGGTTATTTAATCTGGCTGAGTCAGCCATCTTTATAGATGAATATGCTGAGCACAGCTTACAGCTCTCTCCTTTAGCTGTGTGTGTTTTGCAGGGCTTTGTCCCCAGCAGAAATAGCACTTTTGCTGGGAGCTGTTTTGCTGCAGGACCAAACATCTTGCAGGACTGGTGATGTTTACCAGATACGCTTCCTAAAGAATAAGCATAGGCCAGAATTTTAAAGGGTAAGCACTGCAGAAGAAGCGTGGCCGATAAACGGAAGCTTTGTAGGTGATTGAGGTCTGAGGATGCAATAAGCATTAAAAGAAACTAGGGATGACTTTTTTTTCACTCAGAAGGTGATGAGGTACTGGAACAGGCTGCCTGGAGAAGCTCTGGATGCCTCTGGTGCTGATCATCCTGATCTAATGGGTGCCCCATAGTAGGGGGATTGGAACTGAATGGTCTTTAAGTTCCTTTCCAATTCAAGGAATTCACCATTCTATGATTCTATGATGTTCAGTGTCAGAATTCATGCAGTTAGTACTTGCCTATGTGAAAACAGAGTCTGCAACATGTTTCTTACCTTCAACAGAGAAGGGATCTTTTTGTCTGAGAACTAGTGGAATTAGGGGGATTAGGGGGATCCTGTTTGAAATCATAATTTGGGACTCTCCTCACTTTGCCCTCACTTTCTAAAGCATTTCTGAGCAAACTGGGTACTTCTCCCCCATTTCTGCTGCTGCTTTCTGTAACTCAGGAAGCTAGCACTCTGTTTCCTTGCAAGGGAGGGATGTAGGGCTGACTCAGTTTCGGTACAGGACGCTGAGAATGAAGATGCTCTGTAGATGATCATTAGTAATGTAAGGCTGTCCTCTTCCTGGCAAAGCCATTGGCACTGAGTCTGCTAGGAGTGCAGCAGCACTGCAGTGCCAGCCAGAGCTCCCATTCCCTTTGACAGGGATCTCTAGGAAAGAGTCCAGCGGAGGGCCACGAAGATGGTGAAGGGCCTGGAGCATCTCTCCTATGAGGAAAGGCTGAGTGAACTGGGTCTGTGCAGCCTTGAGAAAAGAAGACTGAGAGGGGACCTGATCCAGGTCTATAAATATCTAAGGTGTGGGGGGCAGAATGGCGAGGCCAGGCTGTTTTCAGTGGTGAGTGGAGACAGGACAAGGGGAAACGGCTGGAAACTGCAGCACAGGAAGTTCTGCACAAACATGTGCAAGAACTTCTGTACAGTGAGGTGACGGAGCACTGGAACAGGCTGCCCAGGGAGGTGGTGGAGTCTCTTTCTCTGGAGATGTTCAAGACCTGCCTGGATGCCGACCTGTGCGACCTGCTGTAGGGAACCTGCTTTGGCAGGGGGTTGGACTCGAGCTCTGGAGGTCCCTTCCAACCCCTACAATTCTGTGATTCTGTGATTCTTCCCTCCCCACCATCATGAGCTCCTCAACAAATTTTCCACTGTTTACTTAGAAATCAGTAAAACAAAACACTGAGGCTGAAGAAACTCCACCTGGGGAAGTCAAGGTCGAGGAAACCCCTGCTGCTGCTGTTGTGGGAAAGGAGGCCATCCCTGCTGAGCCAGATGAGCCAACAGAGCAGGCTGCGGTGAGCGATCTGTCCCCCGTGTCCATCTCCTGTTTCTGTACCAACTTGCCATTGCCATCAGACTTTTATGAGGCAGTAGAAATATTTGTTTACCTCTCCTGTTAAAAAAAAAAAAAAAGAGCAACATGCTGTAGCAAGCATGCATGCTTTGCTAGAGTAAGAAATAATTATATTTTGAAGTTCGTTGAAGCTCGTGGGATTTTTTTCTGTTCAAGACCATCTACAGTCTGTTTTAAAATTAATGTAGAAATCAGGTCTTCACAGCATGGTTTGGCAGCTTGACAGAAGAATTAATCCTGTATGTATAAAAGAAAAGGTGATGTCACACTGCAGTTTTAACAGGATGAAGCTGTGAGGGGTTTGCATGGTAACGCTGCTGTCAGCAGCTGCCTTGCCCTGGCATCTGGGCAGGTCTGGGTCTTATGAGGTGACTGCAGGAAGATCAGCTTAGAAAGCACATGAGTGAAGTGAAGTTTGGATTTATTTAACTTTTAACCTTTTATTAAACAAGATAACATGCAAGCATTTCAGATGAAACGTGCAGGAATTTTGGTGTGGCAGGTGTGTGGAGGCAGTGAGCTGGAGGCTGAGCACTGAGGTCTGATCACAAGTGCTGAAGATGGCGATCTGCTCTGCCTGCACTCACACAGATCTGCATGGCTTGTCTTCACCCTTACAGGGCTTTTGAAAACTCTGACCTATGTATGTTTGCAGAGCAGCCTCAACATTTATTAGCGAAAGAGATTTCTATAAGGGGGCTTAGATTTACTTTTCCTCTGAAAAGCATCTTTAGAAATATCCTGCAATCTGCAGGAAGCCAAGGCTGAGCAGAAGAGAAAAGCTCTTCCAAGTCTTCCAAACGAGACATGAATTACAGCCATTTTGAGTGTTTGTTGACCTAAACTGGACCTGAACCTCTTGATGCAGGCTGAGCAATAGCCAGAACTGAATCCAAGCTCAAGCAGAAGGGATGTTGCTGAATCCCAAAATGCTACAGTAGAATTGGAAACCAGCAGGAGCACAACTGTCCCACAGAGTTCAGGAAATTGTACTTTTTCCTCTTCCAAACCTGGAACTCGTGCAGTTTTACAGCTTCTGTAGGAAAGGACCTTGTGTTAGATCCCATCTGTGCTGTAAGAAGTGTTGTTTGGGGTGGAGAGCATCACTGTTCAGAGCAACTGATCCCTTGGGCATCTTCATGGGTGCCAGATTTAGAGCCACTGACACATGTCTGCTGTTTTAAATGTCAGGCACCCACTGCATGTGCAGCTGAGTGTGGACCTGGAGGAAAGTGATTCTGCAAAAGCCGATGAGCTTTGTGACCCACCTCTTTGAACAATCCCCTGCCGTGTGTTTCAGCCCAACGTGTGTGGAAGAAGTGTTCCAGAAAGTTTTCCTGCAAACTGGTGAGTTACAGGGGCAGCAGCAGGTTATGATGGGAACATTCTGAGTCTTGGGTGGGGGAAATGTGAGGTAGATGGAAAACTGTAAGGTCAGCAATGTTCTGGGCTGTTGCTTAATAAAAACATTCATCCGGTATGGTGCTGTTATGAGAATACTGATAGCGAAGGTACATAAAATTGACACTAGCTCTTCCAGTGTGGTGATCATTATGTAATTAACAGGCTTTATTTCTCGTGTTTTTTTGCTGTTCTTGTTCTGTTGTTATCTTATAGCTACCTTTATTTCAGATATATAGCAGTGAGAATCTTTCCACTCCCTGAATGCTGTCCCATTTAGTTCCCACCATTCATTTCATCGCATCCCATACCTGCCATTCTTCCACTGAGCTTGATTAATGCCAGTTTCCCTGCAGGCATTCCCTCAGCATGAATAAGATGATGACCATATTTCCTCTTTGTACAGGAGAGTATTGGGGCAGGGGATAAGGAGACACCTGGAATTGCTGAGAAAGAGAGCGGGGCCTCAGGAATGTGGTTGTGCTTTAATATCTTCAAGAGGAGCCTGGCAAAAATATATGTATGTCATCTGCATGTAATCAATGTGCAGACAATACAGTGTGACTGTGACCCAGCTGTGGTACCAGAACATTTCTCATTCAATGCAAGACCTACCTTAGAAACTGCCTGTTGCAGCAGTACAGCCTTTGAAATGCATCTTTCCTCTGTTCCAAACTAGGTGCCCTTGTAAAGTAACTTTTATCTGGTCAGTTTAACCTGCTTAGAGGAGCAGTATTACTGAATGCAGAAGAGATGCTGTCAGGGATCAGGCTGTTTGCTAAGCTGATATCCTGGCTCCAGTGGAGGACTGTCCTTCTGAGGCAACTTTCATAACCAGTTCTTCAGCGTTACTCCAAAAGCCTTCCAAGACTTTGCAAGCAGTTGGTGTGCTCACTAAAGCATGATAATTAGTTCTTGATCTTATATGAGATGGCTGAGCTGTAATTATGACTAACTGTCCTAAAAATTACCCAGTCCTTTTCTAAATCAAGCCGTGGAGCAAGATCTTTAGCTCTGGAAAATGGGGAGAGCTCAGTGAGCTCCTCCCAGACCCCAGCTGCAGACTTGGCTGCTCTCCTCCTCTTCATGGCCTCATTCTTGCTGCTGCTGAATCTGGGCACTGCACTGAGCTGACAGTTCTATTAGAGGATAATGCAGCCAGCTGCAGCCTGCGTGAAGAAGCATTCACTGTTACTGCAACTCAAAGCCACGTGGCTCTGTTATCACAGCCTTCATTACATTGGATGGCCCTTGTTTTTTGTCCTGTGTGGCTGTGCAGATTTCAGTAACACTTCTGCAGATAGCTGGTTTAGGAGACTCTTAGTCTGTGCATTGGTATGGAGAACAGGTTTGTAGAGTTGGTTCTCAAAACGAAGACAGGAAATACCTGCAAGTACGTGGCCCATTGCAGCTAGGTGTGGGATTCTTGTTCTGATTTCTGTGGAATTGAGTCTCCCTCTTTTTAGTTTAGTTTTGTGGGTTTTTTTTCTTTATCAAAGACATTTGATACTAATAGTGAGATTCATTCAGCACTAGCACAAACATGCCTTTGTAAAAGCCATTTTTTAATTATCTTGCTTTGGTTCTGTATTCTAAGGCACGGGAAATACCCAGTTCTGCATATGTGAGTCTGCTGTGCCTTCAGTGAGTTACAGCTACAGCTGTTGAGAGCATCACCCTTTCAGTGCTGACTGTTTGTGAGCTGACTCATGTAAATCAAAATTCTCCACCGTAAAAGAAAATTGGCTATACAAATGCAGTAAATGGGAAATAAATGTTGATCCTAATCTCAACAGGCAGCAAGATCAGTGTCTGCAGCATGCTGTTAGAAGCACATGTTATAAAATCAATCTGATAGGCATTCTGTTCCCCTCCTTTCATACTGGTCTCTTCCAAGGCTTTTATATCCACCATTTATTTGAATACTAGCCTGGGTCAAGACTGCTAAATTGGTAATACTCTGTGAGACAGGTTTGCATGCCTTACAAGTCACAGGAGAAGATGTCAACATCTGTCCATATCTGTTGGTAATGCTTCTGTTTGTGGCAGAGCATCCTTCCCTAGCAGAATTTTCAGTTCAAGCTAAAACTTCTCCAGTGGTTTCTGCAAAGCACTGGAGTATTTCCTGCTTTCAAGGACTGCAGAAGAATTTATTTACCACATCAGTTAATGTCAGCCACTAGGGGTAGATAGAGCTGAAAAACAATGACTGAAGAATGACCGTGAACAAACGCAGGCAGTTCAAGTTGAGCTCAGAGAGCTGCATTAGTCTCATGCCTGGGTGGAAAATCAAACTGAGGAAACAGAGCATCAGGCTGTGAACTGAATTTCTGCTAAACTCAGCGTGACGCTGGTACCTAGAAAATAGCTTTTCTTTAGTGTTAAAAACTTCCTGAAGCCAATTGAATTGACAGAATGTGTTTTTTATATTGACCTCCACCATTCTTTAAAATCAGCCTAGCTATAGGCTAACATTGTCTGATACCTGATGACATCTGCGTATTTCTGACCTTCATCTAGCTGTAGAGTATATTTGCTTCAGCTAACATAGCCCAAGGTGCACATCTCTGTTCAAAAGGAGTCTAACTAATGCTCTTGAAGGCAGTCCAGGTCCAGAGATTGCAGACAGCAGCTGGAGCAGACCTGCAGCCTGTTCCCAAGAGCAGACTTTCAGTAGCACAGGGGACCTCCGGACAGTTTGCCAAGCTTCAACTTGCCTTGAACCTGCAGGGAGTTTCTCACACCACACAGCTTGGAGGCAAATCAGCCCTGAGAATGCAGTCCCATCACTGTTCCAGAGAGCAGTGGAAGGAGGCCGTTGTATAGGCGTGAGAAAGGAGAGGCGGTGAGAACACATGAGCCTTGAGAAATTCTTCCTACACTAGCAATACCCATCTGAAACTCTACTGCATGTTGACAGGAAGGTTTTGCAAATGTCCCTCTCCTGCCTGTTATTCACTGCAAAAATACTGCGTGGATTTTATTCCAGGTGAAATGGATAGCACTTAGGAGAACTCAGCTCTTTCCAATAAGAAATCTTCCTTTTGATTGATGGTGCTGCTGAGGATTTGGATTGCAGCACTGCATGTCAAGATCTGGCTTAGGCTGAAGTTTCCAGGAATTTTTGGAAAAGGTTGTTGAGTATCAGCTGACTTTTAGTTTCTAGCAATTATGATGGCAGAGAAAACAAGAACTGTTATTTCTTCTGACTGTCAATACAGGAATGAGAGAAAAGAACTCTCAGAAAAAAATAATCAGATGAAAACAGTGACTTTTTCCCCCCTCATCTGTGGCATTCTGTAATGATTCTAGCACACTGCTGTGCTCTTACTGTGTAAGTATCCCAATATTGCTGTGAGAACTTTGAAAACATCTCCACGTGCATTTGCACAAATGCAGGTTTGCTGTAACACTGATGACTCCAGAGGCTGATTATCCAATTTTCAGTTCAGTTGGAGGTAAGGTGGGATGAAGGCCATCTAATGTGCTCACAGTCTCACAACACCATGGCAGAACAGAGAAAACAGTCTGTGCAAAATCAGAGTATGCTGTGTAACAAATCACCACTTCTTTTAGCCGCATGACTCTAAAACTTCTCCGGGCCTGGAGTATGCAGAAAGGAATGGGAGAGAGCTGACCCTGAAGATGCTCTGTCTTTTCTCTTTCAGGAGGCTGCTTGACAGGCATTAAGGAATCTGAGTGGCTTCGGCACAGAGATGCAAATGGTTAGAAAGGACTTTTCCCAGAGAACTTCACACGCCGTCTGGAACAGTTCTTCTCACAGGCACACGAATGTGGTTTGAAGCTCAGTCAGTGGGTTCTTCACCTCCTTGAAACACAGGAGCCCCCTTTTTTTGTAGTTCAGGCTGTTAACGGTTTACAGATTGGTGCCAGACAAAGCTTGTTGGGCATATCAAAATGAGCATGAGTGCAAGCAGTTAAGCTACCCATTTCTGAAGCAGTGCATGAAAAAACAAACAAACAAACACAAACAGAAATGTCCTCATTTGTTCACGTGCATGTGGCAACAGGTTTGTTTGTGCTGTGCCAGAGCTGTGGTGATCCTGTGTTTGGTCCTTTCCCATGAAATCCAAAATTAGCCTCCTTGATACCAAAACCTGAACTTCTCTGCACTAAGTGTGTTGTATTGAGTTGCACTGCAGAAAACTTAATTAGTAATCCTGTAGTAATGAGGTCAAACTACTACAAGTTTCACGTGTTTAAAAAATATAATTAACTGCTGCAGAGTCAGCCCAAATGATGTTCAATTAAGGCACAGAGCGTCAGAGGCAGCCC